AACCCATTGGTGGCTCTGGGCAACTCTCACTTCCTTCTCTGCAGCCGGCACTGGGGGCTATGACTCCAAATAGGGAGACCAAATTGCTAGCCAAACTTCTCAAATATATAACATCTAAAGCAGAAGGGTAGACTTTGACTTTGGCTTTTGGTTAAACTGAAAGACTTGTACAGAAAATATATTTCTAGTTATATTAAAACATATGAGAAAATAACTAGAAATGCGTAAGTGTTTTCTTTTTCAATTTGACAACAGTGCCTTTGAAAGGCTGGTTCTTCAGTGTGCAGTGAATTCAACTTCCTGAACATATCAACTGAGCCAAGTCTGTGTGTCAGTTCCAGGCACTGCCCTGCATAGACGGGTACCTGGGGGAGGTGTGATGTATACAATGAAGATTTAAAAAATGAACTTTTAATTTTAATTTTTTAGTGCAATTGGAGTCATTACTACCATTTCTGACCACCACGATCAAGGACCCAAGTTAAATGTCTTTCCTTTGTGAAAGGAAGATAATTCTTTCATTTCCCAGTTCTCCGCAATTTTGCAAAAGAGCTCTTTCATGGATCTTGAGAGAGACACATCCATGTTCAACAGTTGTCAAAAGGTCTTCCCCATGGGCAGGCCCCACCTTTGCTCTTGCTGCCATCGTGCGTCTGCCCTCTGATTCCGCCAGAGTGACAACTGCCAGGATGCTGACTGGGTTGGGGTGGCCCAACAGTCATTATTAAGCCACCCCAGGACTTGGCCTGCACAAACCTTTCCCCTAAAGCACCCTTCAATAATCCTCATTGCTTTTATGTAATTTTTTCCATATAAAAGGAAACTTAAAGTGTGGTGCTCCACGCCAGACTGAGGTCTTCAGACAAGAGTCACGGGTGTCAGGGAGACGGCAGCGTCATCAGAGGCCAAAGGTCACCATGCGGAGCCCACATGAGACCATTCCCCACCAGCTTTGCAGTGGGAGCAGGGGACGTCACACCTCCCATGAACTGATTTCTCTGGCGATAGTAGCCATCACTGTACGATTCATTCTGTGTCATTTTATTTTATAGTCTAAGCCCCAAGAATGTATGTTGTTACCCAACTCTTAATAAGAAGAAATGAACGGTTAGTACAATAAAGCACAAATATTGGCATCCCTAGTTTCACAGGGAAAAACCCTCTTCCCCTGTTGGATGGACCCTCTCCAGTAGAATCAGCTGCCTGGATTCCACAAGCTGGCTCGGTTTCCCCCTCAGGCACCTCAAACTCAGCTCACAACCTGGGCTCATTGTCCTCCCTTAAACTAATGTCTGGCTCACACGCATCCAGTCATCCTAGCCGAACACTGCAGGGCCGTGGTTTCACCCTCATCCTCTCACTGGCTCCTTTGCATTGCCTATAAACCCAACCTGCTGACTCAGTCTCCCCCAGTGATCTCCACTGTTTTTTGTTTTGTTTTCCCTCAACTTTTTTTTCTTTATTTTAAAGATGTGGGGTACAATTCAGGGTTAGGTATACAAATGTTCATTATGCAGCTACCCTTGTGGATGAGGTGTGCCCCTTCCTCCCCTGGCAGTTTCCCTCAACTGCCAGTCCCTTTCTTATAGCATTCTGATCATTGTTCAAGGTCCGCTTCTGAGTGAGAAGATGTGGTACTCAGTTCTTTGTTTCTGTGATATGACCTCTATTCGTGTTCACTGGGCATCAACCGGAAGGGGTCCCCTTTTCAGTCCCACAGCTGAACATGCTGCTGGGCTCTGTGAGGCTAGTCTAGGCTACATGGCAGGGGGACACACCTGGAATCCGTGCGCCTCATGATTTGGGGGGCAAGGGTTAGACAACTCTCTGAAAACTATGAAAATTACCGTGTGCACACATGCTTTTTTCCTGCAGGATGAACCCATACTCTTCCTTAGAATCTCAAAGGGGACCATGATTTAAAACAGGTTAAGAGCTCCAACCCATTAGACAGCATCCAGACTCCTCAATGGCATATAAGTGTTTGGACCTCCACCTCTCTGTCCCATTCCCTCGGACCCTGGGCTCCAGTTCCATTCAGCCAGGACATGCCACTTCTCACTGCTGGGCAAGCACATGGAAGCCCCTCTGTCTGGAATGTTCTAGCTGTGTCAGCTGCCAAGGAAACAGCCTAGTAAGCCAAGCCTGCTCTATTTGGTGAAGCCCTTCCAGGCCCTCACTTCACAGGCCTCTCCTGCCTGCTGTCACACGTCCACGTCCAGTAATACATTAACACTCCCAGAGAGTGGCGAGTTCTGTCTCCCTGTGGATACGAAGCATCCACAAGACGGGCGTCCCGACTTCTTTTGTAATGCCAGTGCTAGGCTCAGTGCTTGTACAGATGCTCCTAGACTTACAATGAAGCCACGTTCCAATGGACCCATCGTAAGTCGGAAAAACTGTAAATGAAATCATCGTAAGTCGGGGATCGTCTGTATATAAGAGGTACTTCATAAAGGTCGAAGCTTTCATTTGTCTGTTCTAAATGATCTTACAGTCTCTTCCACACTCCTCACATCTGATGAAAACCAAGAAATATCATTTGAAAGAATATCGTTGGCTAGCTAACAATAGGCTTAGCTTGGCACCACACAGTACAAAATTATTCCATTTCTGGCTCCTGCACTCTTACATTAATTGGGCCAAAATCAGGACTTTGCTCAAAGGAATTTAAATGGACAGACGGATAACATCTCCAATAGATGACTGAACTTTAGCTGATGTTTGCAATGTTGGCAAAAAAGTAATTTATTGAATTACTGATGCACTTAATAAAGGGCTGCTACGAGCTTAGGGAAAGAGACTGCTGAGTCAACAGCAGTTCAGAATTAAGAACGAGGTTACTGCTTCAGAGCATTCTTTCATCCAGAACGTCAACGTTCAGTTGTTTATGAAACTGAGGTTGCTCTCAGATCGAGAAATGCCATGTGCTGAAAAAAAGGTGTCAATTACAAGGAATAATTTTACCGGTAACGATGCAAGTTTTGTGATGATTTGAAATAATGTGGCTGAAAATAGAAGTTCCTTTTTGATTGGTAGACTTCATAGGCTAAGATTGTTTTATCTTTACACATCTAAGGTGCTACAGTATTCTATTCCTTTGGGAAGAGCATTTACACACTCACTTTCTATTCATTAAAGTAATACCCTAAGGCAACGTTTTGTTGGCCTGGATTCAGTTACTGTAAATCCTTGAATGTAATAAAAGAAACCCCACAGATATTCTGCTGCTTTTTTTTTTATTAATGCATACTGATTTCCTTCTCAGTAATTGTGAGAGAGTTACTGCTTCAGAGATTCAGAGCACTTGAGTCTGAACACCCTGACATAAGGGCATGTCACTGCTGCGCCCCCTGAAATTGTCCTGGGTCATGCCCTGGTCCTTATCTCCTGCCCACATGTGCCCAGGATGCAGGGCTCACATTCCAAGTAGAAAGGAAATCTGTAGGCTCCTCAGTGGATAACTCCTTAGAGATGACAGCTCAGCATCTAAGAGACGCTATTTCTTTCTTTCTCTCTCCCTTCCTTCCTTCTCCTCCCTGTGCTCCCTCCCTCCTATATCTAGAACAGTGGGAAAGTACACTGAAGAAAGGAAAATTTGGAAAGAAACACCGACATCTGTAGGAAGTATCCTGTGCTGAAAAGCAACCTCTTAGTGGAATTCATTAGCGAGTTTCTCTGGAACCTAAAAAAGCAGGCTGGAGCATTCTGTGGGGAGGATTTACTTTGTCTACATGGGGGAGCCTGGAGACCCTCCCACCTTCAAAGACCCATCTTATCTCCCTAATAACCGGTCTTTTCCTGAAAGTGTGTTTTGTAACAAGTGGCAGGGTCTAGAATGGCTAAGGGTTGAGCCAGTCATGGGGAAAGTTGCCGTGTGAGAAAAATGACTGCCAGTGTCCTCAAAATCCGTTCTGCTTCCCTATCCTCCTCTCCTCTTCGAATCATTCACCCTCCAAAACCCTCAACGCAATGCAAGTCCACACCAGCCATTAGCATCCACTGAGGTGACACAGTTCTTCTCATAGGTGTCTTTCCACCCATGTCGTGTTTCCAACAACAATATAAAAAGGTTTATCCCACGACAAGAATTCCAGGCAAACAGGTAGGTAGGGTGGGTGATCGGTGGGGATGTTTGCCCCAGAACCCAGATATCAAATCATAAGTGAGTGTCCACCTTTGAGGCCAGCCACTTTGAGTTGGAAAAGAAAGGAAGGAAGGCGGAGCTCCCCGGAGTTTCATCAGGAACCTGCCAGGACAGGAGCTTCCACTTGTCTGGGCTGTGCTTGGCAGGTGTGTCCCGACCCTCAGAGCACACCTGTGTGCATGAGCCGAGGAGTCAGGGTCAAGTCTGTAGAATGCAAACAAGTCTGCACGGCAGCCTTATTAAAGCCCTGTTGTAGAGACACAGGCTGAACAATGCCAAGTCCTTCTGGAGTGAGACAAAATCAAAGGACTTAGTAGAAAGGTCATTTAAAATGACACATTGTAATCAAGTGGCTACATGATAGGACATTCAAAACTCTCAGTTGAGAAGAAAAATGAAACTAATTTTCTCGCTAGTACAAAAACCAGTGACTAAAGTTCAGCTGGAAATGTCTAACTAGATTTAAGGGCATTAATAACTGAAAATCACGTCTGCATTGGTAGAATAGAAATTAAATGACTTGCCTTGAGGACAAAGCAACTGTGGCCGAGGAGAAGTCAGGGTTCTGATCATCTCCGGCCTCTGATTCAAGTCCTGTGGGCCCTCTGCCTCGGGTAATGCCACTGACCGGTGGGCAAGCACTAGACCAGGTCGCCACACACCACCTCTGTTGATCCTTAAGCAACCCCGCGGTCAAGACTTGGCATCACACTTGGCGAGGCTGAGTTCCTTGCCTTGTCCACAGCCTCAGCCTCTGATCCCAGTCTCATCCCAGGACCCTCCACTCCTAAGTCCTTGCCGTGCCAACTCCCATTGAAAACAAAGTTCCGACAGCAGACTCCAGGACTCTAAAATGGTCTTGGTTGTACCAGCGAAGGAGAAGAAACTCATGGATGTCAAACTAGGGGAGCTTCCAAGCTGGATACTGATGCAGGATTTCACCCCTAATAGCATCCTTGGAGCATTTCAAAGAGATTACCACCGCACGACAAGTACATCAATGTGAAGAAAGGGAGCATCTCCAGGCTTTCTATAGTGTTGGTGGTTTATGTGCTTTTCGGCTACTGTCTTTCTTACAAGGAACTCAGACATGAACAGCTACACAAGTACCACTGAAGAGGGTGCACTCTGCTCTTCTGACCATGACCTCTTTGACCCAACACCCCTCCATGAGGAACCTGACCACTGCTGAATCGAACCCTTTCATACCCTAATGAGAACACCCTAATAAAAGATGACTGGAACCTGTGGACAAGGAAAAAGAAAAAGAAAAACAAAGTCCCGTCACTTTGATTGGCTGCTGGTTTTCAGGCAGAATAAAGTCATGGCCGGGAGAGCCTCTTGCACCTGGCTTCCTCCATGAAACCTGGATGGGCTCCTACTTGGTTCCGTCACCTTCATCCATTCATTCCTCCACTGCACATACAAGAACTGAGTGAGCTCTGAACTCCAAGCCTCATGGGACCAGCCCTGACAGTCATACACCTGCCAGGGAGCTAACGGTGTAACACTACTATCTTTCCTGCATTAGCCTTCCCAGCAGACAAAATCTAGTGTTGCCAGCAGCTAGACTTAAGGTCCAGATAAGTTTTCCTACGAATCCTTTTTCTTTTATTTTTTGAGTCAGGGACTCAAGCTGTCATCCAGGCCGGAGTGCAGTGACTTGATCACAGCTCACCACAGCCTCAACCTCCTGGGTTCAGGAAATCCTTCTGCTTCAGTCTCCCAGATAGCTGGGACTATAGGCATGCCCCACCACACCTGGCTAATTTTTTAGTTTTTTGGTAGAAATGCGGTCTCACTATGTTGCCCAGGCTGGTCTCAAACTCCTAGACTCCAGCAATCCTCTTGCCTCAGCCTCCCAAAGTTTTGAGATTATAGGCGCGACCCACATAGTCCAACTAATTATTTATTCTTCATCCAAAAAACACTAATACCAAAACACTTTAGATTTTTAGCACACAACTAAGAATAATTTTTGTCTTCAATCATTTTTCTACCCCAAATGGCCTCTATATTTGTTTTGGGAGAAAGGTTTCTCTTCCCCCTTCGTTACTTGATACAATGTACAATAAGGGACTGGATTAATTAAGCAGTCTTGATTGCATTTGAAAATAGATGTCCTTAAAAAATATTTTGTCTGGTCCCTATTTCATCAGAAATCAACATTAAATAATATATTTGTTTGTATTTCTGAAATACATTGTTAAGAACTTTTATGTCATAAGCTTAATCAAAGCCTCTGAAGCATTTGTATAGTTGAAAGAAAGACACATGGCTCACATTTCTGGCAGGGAACCAGGTGTTGCTACAGTTCAAAGGCTGTGAACCACATCAAAACTACCTGGGGGGAACACCTGGACGGGGGAGACCATGACGGGTACAATTTGGGGAACAGCAGACAGAAGCCAAAGACGAAAAGAAGGCTGGCTTGGTAATCTCCAAACGAGGGGTCTCCCAACCCATACCTAGCAGCAGCTCACCTGCTCACCTGTGCCTACTAAAGGATTAGTAGCATTTGACAAACTCCTATTACCTGAGGTGCAGCTGAGGGGAAATCCCAACCATCTAGAATACTAATCAGAACTCTGCTTTTGCAAAAAAAAAAAGCAAGTGACAAAATAATGAGAAGTTAACTTTCCAAAATAAACTCTTAATATGTCTAGGGCCAGTACCTAAAACTGACAGCATGCTAAATGTACCCATGAGCCTATTCTCATGCCATCGAGATTTGCTAACAAAGCAGAGAGGTGTAGCCCAAGGGCTGATCCAAGAAAAGGGAGACAGCCTGGCCTTGGATCCAACCATGTGTCGGTAGCCCACCCCAGACTAGCAGTGGGGAGAGGTGAAATCCAGTGGAGCGCAGGAGCTGGGGAGGGCTCATATCACAGGCGGCCTGAACAGCCTCTCTTTAGAGGTAAGCACAGGGAAATTCTGAGAGTTTCTGGGGCAGTCCACAGCTTCATAACTTTGTGCTCTAGTCGAGAAGCCACTCTCTGGCCCTGGCTTCACATACCTTATTCTAGACCACACAGGTTCTTGGTGTGGGGTTTGGCTCGTTTTCGGAGTGTCTCACACTCAGCCTGGTTTAATTCAGGCCATGATCCCAGGTTCGTGTGCACAGCAAGTTGCGTTTCTGCCCTATCACCAGGATACTGGAGTCAATGGTGCATGCTGAAGAATGTATTTCTTCATGGTAAGTGATAACATTATGAGGTTAAAATACTCAATCATGCAGATGTACATAATAATCTAGATTGTCATGCAAAATATAAAGTTATCTAGCACGTCACACTAAACTGATTTGACCTACCGATCTGGATAGTGAACAAAAGGTATCTACCTACTAATACGGACTTCGGTTTGGTTCACTTATTCATTCAGACTTCACTGGTTCTTAACACGTGCAATGCCACTGTCAGGTGTTTCAGGGAAATAATAAGCACAACTGACTGAGTGCTAGCCATGTGACTTGTCATTTACATGTGCCATCTGTCCCCATCACAGCAGCTATGTGAAGTACAGATGATCATTCCCTTTCTAGAGAAGAGAATGCTGAGGCCTGAATTTTGAGTCATTTAGCCAAGATCATACTAGAGTCGGGATTTGAATCCATACTTGAACCCAAAGTACAAGCTCTCAGAGACACACCCTCCACACTTAAAGCACTGACTCCCTGGTGGAGAAAATAAACTATTTGAATAAATGAACTGGAAATGAAAAATCGAGTCCAATAAGTACTTTAGGAAAGGCACAAATAACCTTCTGTGGAACCCAGAGTAATAGAGATTACTCTCAGGTATAGGGGCCAGGAAGGTGTTTTGGAGACTGAGACATTTAACACGGACCTTGAGTCATGGGTAGGAGTCCCTAAGATGGAGATACAAGGGAAGTAGACTGAGAGCAGGTGGCTAAGTCCTGGGATCTGGAAAGCATGGGGGTGGAAGGGGGGTCTTCAGGGTATACCAAGGCTTTGGTTCACTAGGAGAAAAGCCAAAAGAAAAACTAGAGATGATCTCAGAGCACACACTTTTTTGCATCATGCTACTCAAAGATTAAGAAGGCCAACCTTTATCCTAATGAATACATTCATTCCTGTTTTGGCAGCAGACTCTCTGTAAGTGTAACTCAAATATTATAAATGGAAAAGATATGTTCAACACCGGAATGGGAGGCAGCTTGGATCATGGCCTCTCCCTGCTCCCAAATCTGCCTCCCTGGATGTCATTTGGAGTCTCTGATCTAGCTGGACAGTTATTTCAGCAGGTGTATTCAGCATTTCCAGAAGAACTGGCCACATGATTCCTGGATGCTTCTTCACATCAACAAAAATATGTGGTGACCTACCAACCACAATTGGCATCCACTTAACACACACACACACACACACACACACACACATTTATTTACATGAACACACGTACTCCTAAGAGTACTTCTCACTTGTTTATCCATCCAGCAATAGTTCTCAAGGGTCTACTTGCAGGTACCTGGCTGGGCAGAGAAGATGCAATATTGTCCTCACAGAAACTACAGTCAGGCATATCTTTTGGAAGCTGGTGGAATCCGATGGATAAAGAAAACACTGGGAAAGTATTGGGTGGGGAGGGAGACGCAAGTTGGATCTTAACACATCGAGTTGAGGGGCATTTGATGTCCCGGGAAAAATGTCAAGTGGGCAGCTGGGTATGAGAACCACAGAGGAGTGGTCTGGGCTGGAAATACTCCTCTGATGTGTGGGGGAGGGAATTTGATAAATGGTGATGCCTTAGACGGGGATAATGGCAATGGAGATGGAGCAAAGCAGACCACCTGAAGGACAGTTTGGAGGCGAAGCATATCTTGACCAACTGAAATGGATGCATTCACCTCTGCCATCAATCCCACCATGGCTGCAGCTCCTCTCAGGGGTCAATGATTTGCACTCACGTATCCTGGAGGGGAGAGGATCCCTCATTAGGACAGAGTTTCAGGACCTCAGCCAGGGTCCATGGAGGTGGAGGCGCAGACTCAGGGAACACTTCTCTCTCCGCCAGGTGTCCTTCCTCAGAAATGAGAAGCGGCCTCTGTGTATGGCTTGTGGACTTGACCACATCCCTTTAATGTCACTTTGCGTCTCCCCTCCCCCAGGGGCTCCAGGAAGCATCACAGGGAGGCGATAGCGCTCCCTCACCGGCTTCCCTCAACCAATTTGACTGGAAGTGATGAGGGAGTATATTATTAAAACCAAATCCATCCGGACTCATCCAACGACCTGGCCTTTTAGAGAGACAAATCCAGCTTCTAGCTCATGTCCATACATGCCACATCTGTTGGCGGGCAGGAGGCGGTGCTGACTGGCATGCATCACTAACACCAATGAACAAAGACTTTGATCCCCAAGGTCACGTTCAGAGGCAGGGCCATGCCGGCAAGGGCTGGGTGCTACATCAGGCCTCTCGGCGTCTCCCACGCCACTCTTGGGCCTGTTCCACGTCACCTCTGACCTTTCGCTCCTGCAAGACCTGTGTCTAGAACGAGCCCGTGCCCTGTTCACACAATGGAGCTCTGCTCATGCCATGAAGGTTGCGTGGCAGTGATGGTCAGACACTTGCCTTGGCCGCTGGCACTCCACCATTTGATGCCCTCCTGTGGCCTAGTGTCCTGGTTTTGGAAAGACAACGCCCCTGCCAACTGCCCCCTCCCCTGGCAACACACAGTTTAAATGGGTATGGATCTTCACCTGCAGAGGCAGAAAGTCATTCAACTTTGGGACTCAAAGACCTCCAGACACCCTGGGCCAAAGGACACCGAGGGTCAGCAGCAGAGCTGATTGTGTCTTGGGCAAGGGCATAGTAATTTCCAGACCAGGTGAGCATCCTTTGCTGGTTTTCATTCAACTCAGCTAGACACGCATTCACTTGGATCCACTTTAAAAATACAAGCGCCAACCATAATTTTCTTTTCTTGAGTTTCCTGAATTGAAACTCTGATAGAATGGTCGTAACTCAAGACAGATCAATATCATTATTCGGCAGTTATAATGGCCTAACCTTTCCAGAAAGGTTTGCCGTGCCTGGAAGGAATTTAGGTCAGTCCAGCACCATCTCCCTCCGGCTTGGCTCGGCCTCACCATC